TTGTCAATGATGTTGTATCACCTCACATAGTGACACTCGAAGATTCTGAAACTTCCAAACTTCTACCACGTCCTGTTCACATTGACCGACTCAAACGTGCATTTGTACGTGCACCTACTCCAACCAATTTCTTTAAAATTACAACAACAGTGAAAATGGAATCAGCAACTCAAACAGATCCAGTGTCAATCGAGCTTCAGGATAGTGTTGTCTCTGAAAATGAGGATGAATTGCATACAAATGACAATGACTTCCATTCCAAAACCTTTAGCTCCTGTTCAAGGACATCCTGTGCGGAATGTTGGCAAACCTCTCTGATATTGCAGTTTTCAGGATAGCTCTTCTGAATCCTCCAAAGCCAGAGACAGACATAATAAGATAAAGAGGACCATAGCCCAAAGACAATCCAAAATTAGAAAGGAATATCTTATTCACTGGGTTGGAGAGCCATCCCAGAATGCACAATGATGCTGCAAAGAAGGCTGTCGTGGTTAAACCACCACCATTTGTGTAGACCTGAAGATTTCTTCATGTATGATATGTTTATGAACATTTATATACAAGACACTTTGACCTCTTCAAGGTTTATGATAAATTGTTTTGATAAATTGTTTGAATACATTTTATCATGTTTAAAAAAAAAAAAAAAAAGTTAGGTGGATAAAATTGGACTTGTATCGTGATAAGTTTACTTACATTTCTATAGTTGATTTTTTTTGCATTTCAGTTGTGTTCAGAAAGACACTTTTTTTCATATAAATGAAGTAGTTCATTACTAAAATTTGATGCTAATAGTTAGTTCCTTAGAGAATTACCTTATTACTTTGAGAATGTCACTTCTATATTATTGAATTAATGCATAATTTTTGTAGTATTGATAATTGATGATTATGATGGAGTTGTGTATATTACATAGATTTCAAATTTGTGTAGCTCATTTGAACTGATTAATTTGGTTTGAAAGTTGTTATGTATAATTGTGTCCACTTTTCAAATCATATGACAGAATATAAACACTGAGGGAAAAATGTGAACTGAGCGTTTGTTTATCAGGACAGGTATTCTGTATTTTCTTAGACAAGGTCATTGTAAAATTCCAATGTTACCAAGACATTCTACTTTCAATTAATATGCCAGTCTTGTTTTATCCCTGTTTGTTGATGAAGTGTTTTGACAAATTGTTGTGATGGCAGGAGAGTGCGTGATTTTGAGAGTTTGAAGCTTGAGCAAATCTAAATAAGTATAAATGATTGTATGTATGACATTCTGATCATTATGATTTCTCATACTTTACCAAGAATTCAGAAAATGAAGAGTTAATAACTGCTGGTACGAAGGTAATTAGGTTGTATGATTGAGTCTGATAGCTTCAAAAATATTGCCTTCATATATTTTCATGGTGATTGTTTGTTGAACAGTTTTGATAATTGATGTCAATATGTATTTTAGATTTGCATAATTACCTTTAAAAATGATTATCCAGATCAAACCGAGTAAAATGTACTTTTAAATTTGCTTCATGGAGTTGGAAAGTCAAGGTTTCCATTATTGAATTAACTTCATCTTTCGTATTTTGATGAAAATAAGTTTTGCATGTAGTGAAAAAAATTTTTTTTCTACATGTTTGAATATATTTCTTCGGAGATTTGATTCAATTCTACCTATATTTCTTACATTATACATAACAATAATATTTTGAGTTTATGAATATTTTTTTCTGCGAGTTAATTATTTACTTAATTGTCCACTTCTAGTGCAGCACATTCTTTCCTCATTGGTACATGTAGTTATCTCCCTTTGTAAAAATTGCCATAATGGTATTGCCTAAATTTTTGTCAAATAATTAATATGGAATTGGATATTCTTTGTTTATTGCATTAAGATCTGTCAACTAAATAATTCCTTTCATCTCTCACCCATAGAAAACTGCATTTTGAAATTTTGTTTTGAGGGGGGATGTTGGGAATATATATAATTGGTGAAGTGATGGGAGATAATTGCTTGGTCTTATCGCTCCATCGCTCACTGGATTAGGTCCGATTCCGCATTTAGTTTCACTTATATTGGAACTATTTTGTATAAAAAGTTGCGAAAGGGAATAAAAAGAAATTGGAAAGAGGGGCTCAGGACTGGTTTGTTTATCGTCATTTGTTGCCCTACCGAATTCTCCGATCACAGTAGTTTCTGATCAAGGGTAGACCGGGAATATCGGGTTACATTCAATTGGCATATTTAATACTCTAGTAATGCTCAAGACTCGTCGGTGAATCTTAACCGCCTTCACCGACCCATCCCAAACCTTTCGGCCAATGGCAATGTCTGCGCATCCAGTCAAGATGCACTTGCCGCCACCGTGGTGTCAGAGGTGGCCCGACATAAGATTGGCGCGCAATGATTCTCTCGGCACGCAAGCGGTTCCTGGCACTAATGGGTCTGCCGTGAGTACCTTAGGCATGCAAAGCAGTCTCTACAACAATCTTGAATCTGTTGTGCAAGTGCGACAATCCAATCGCAATGTCTTGTCGTGCGGACGACCACTCCTGTGATGATTGGAGACTACCTCAGTAACATGGAAATGTGTATAGAGATGGTTAATTGTACACGAGAATCGCCAAACTGCCGTGTTACTGCAGTTTGCCTATGACCATCCATCAACATCGCAATTGCTCTACACTTCTGAATTTGCGTTGGCATGTCAGTCGTTGGCGAAATCAATGCCAACGTGGAAAATTAATGTGGCTGAACTTGGAGTATCTGTTAAAATTCGTTTGGAAAAATCCGGCTTGGCTAGGTAACGCCGCGCGATTTGGAATAAAGAAAATGCCACAGTCAAACAATCACATCGTCACGCTTAGCTGATTTTAGGGGATGGGGGTAGTAGGCGGTGGCGGTGGTTGGACTAACTTTGTGCGATTCTTTTTTTTAGTATATATTAGTTTATAAACATTCGGTTCATTTATTTTCTATGGTACACATATTAATCTGTAAGCAACTGCAATACAGTTGTAACATAAATACTTATTTATGGATATCCGTAATTCCTTTTTCGATATCATCGATGAATTTATAAACATAAAAAAAAATTATTATGGATATTCATAAATACCTTGGATTTTTAAATATCCATAAATCATTTGTAAATATCAATAATTGAATTACATGCATGGATATCCATATATCAGCGCACTCTACCAACCATTTGTATCAGGCACCAGGTGATAGTTGACAAAATGATTTATGAATATTTAGTTTTAAATCTTTAGAGTTGCTTTAAAATGACAGATTATGTTGCTTTTTAACCAAGAATGAGTCCATATGCGGCAAATATTTTTTGTAGTCAGACACGTGTCACAACAGGTTTTATTTGGGGTTACATTGATTCCCTAAATATGACATACGCATTATGAATATCAATAAATCAGTGCCACCTATCAGTCAAAATAGGTAAGGCGCCAATAATATTTATCCATGTATAGGATAGATTTGTTTTTTTAAAACTACACCTTATAAGCCTTAACGGTCATTTGACTACAAACATTTCCAGCAAGGAGAAGGGTTATTTTTTTCTACTTGGTGAAATCTTACTTAGAATATGTTTTTCCATGATGCAGATTGCAGTTTTGGTGAGCATATACCGGTAACTGTAACAAGTGTTACCTACTTTTTTGACAGTAAAGTTTTCAAAAAGCATTTCCCAAATGATATTTCAGGGGTAACATTTGGGACCCCAGCCTCCTGTCCGCCTCAATCAATTCAGAAACAATTACGTTCTCCAAATGATGTTTACAAAAGTGTGGCCTGAACCTTTATCACTTCTTTACGTATTCAATTTTTTTCACATGATACCCTTACATCCACAGAAATCTTGGATGCGATAGTTATCCATGACCACCAGAATTTTTAAGAAAAGTTGACGGATGACAGATATTGCACCATGGCATACGTTAATTGGTCTTTTAGAGCAGATGAAAAAATACAAAAACTCATTTGACTCCACACAGTGTATTATTTCAGTAGAATTAGAAATGTCGAAGTACAAAGTATGAATTAGACTATATCATGTGTAGCAGGATCATTTGAAACAAGTTGGAGCACAATAATACGTCTTTCAAGATAGCAGCCATGGTGGCCATCATGCATTTCAGACAGACCTGAAAAATAACAACACCATCTCAGGATTACTTCAGACAAGTTGGAGCTCAAATCCACTGGTGAAACATGAGAAGAAGTTTGAAATAGGTTTTGCACAAGAAAACCATGATTGTGCAGTCATGTTACAAATGGCCTCCCTGGCTACCTTGTCAAAGATTTGACATGGTTGAAAAATAACAATACTTTGTACTTTGGCTATCTTTCCTTAACATTCCCACCAATGTTTAGCTCAATGGCATCCGTGGATCTGGAGAAGTTTAAAATGTATTTTTTTTTAAATATGGCAGCCATCTTGGATTTCAGACAGACCCGAAAAATATCAATACTTGGTCAGGACCATCTAAGGATCATTTCATGCAAGTTTGAGCTCAATCCTACAGGTGGAACTTTAGCAGAAGTTTAAAATGTCCAAAGCAGACGGCACATGACAACGGACGAAGCACAATGGCTATAGCTCATCATGACCTTTTAGGTCAGATGACCTAAACATTGAAAAAATTAAAACCACACAACTCTGTTTTTGCCTTCTTCATAGTTCTTGAGCTCAGTATTAGGGCCTGAAGCTTTAGATACATATCACGGTGTCGAGTTAGAACAGTCACTACTCCATGTACCAATTACGGATATCCATAATTTAATTAATGGATTTTCATGGTTTGTTTAAGTGTATCTGTATATTGCTCAAGGTAGCAACTTTGATAATCTGTAAAAATTAACATATGACACATATCAAAGATATTTTTTCTAATAAAAAGGATTTGGATGCAACTAATTAAAATCATATTTTAAATTGATTTAATTATGGATATCCATAAAACTAATTGTTTTAAGAAACATTGAATTCATAGTCTTGTGTTAAAAGCTACTAAGCTTCATCTTATAATTCTTTGCTTTTCTGTTTGTCAGAAATGTTTTGGAGTCAAGCACACTGTATCCAACCCCTTATCCACCAGCACATTCTTTATTTGGTCAATAAATGCAATGTTTTTAAAAGTGATTTCTTTAATAAGTAATATGTGAAATATTTTCAATGAAAGTCACTCCATTTACCAATGAAGGCCAAGCCTAAATGTCTACAGTATGATAATCAGAGATTTTAAAGATAATATATGATACCTCTATTTCAGAAACAAGTTCAGATTTGTAATAAAGATAACTTTTGAATTACTAGGATAAAAACAGGATACCCATGATTTTGCACAGTTACTTAATAATGTTTTGCATCTCAACAGTAAGATGCACATTGAATTCATAAAGAAAGTACAATATCATTTTAATCACAATTTAATCTTTATTGTGTCTTATTTATAAAACCCCAGTAAGCTCTCAAGAATGCATTTGAAAAATCCAAAAGTTACCTATGGCCTGCACTACGACTTATTTTTATGATCCCTGTCATGGGTGCGAGTCTGGGTGCTTATCTTAACCAAAAACTTGTTCAAAATCCTATAATAAATCATTAAATTGGTCAAATCCTGTTCATCAAAGACTGCTGCACGTTTTGAATTCAAATATAAAGCTTAATATTACAAATATAAAAAGTTATGGAAGTTTAACCAGGGAAAACATGATTTTTCTTAAATAACAAATTCAAGTTTTTTGGAAAGCTGACGAGACCCATTGAAGACGAAATTGATTCCTCTTCACCAACACATGATTCTGACCAATTAAGGACAAAATCCACTTATTCTATTGGAGGATTTTGATTTTACATGATTTTACTCAATTCCCGTATTTTGTCCAACCCCAGCCGGCCGAGATCCACCGTTTATACAAAATTGATTTTTCTTTACCCAAGGTGTTTCTGACCAAATCTGGGCAAAATCCAGTCATTCCTGCAGGAGGATTAGGATTTTAAGAAATGCAAATTTCCCCTTTTTGGTTTCATCCCTTAGGTCCTTGGGGGCTGGTACACTTCATTTAAAGCAGTTATGTTCCCATTCCCATAAGGCTGCTTCTGATCAAATTGGTAAAAATTTGCCTGAGTTGTTCATGACTAGTAGCATTTTGTAAAAAAAAAAAAAGTTGACAGTCGACGGATGGCAGACGCCACAGTATCCTTAAAGCTCCCTTGGCCATTCGGGCTAGGTGATCTAAAAACTCAAAAAGACCTTGCATGAAGTATAAGTCCAAAACAATCAGGAGTTAAACATGATGTAGTGCCTCTTTTCACCAACACACCCACTGACAATGCACTTGGTATCATTCTGAGCTGCATAGAGCATAGCAAGTTATGGCTTTACTGGAATTTGTGCTTACAATAACATAATTTGACATCTATCATCAACTGTTTGGCTAAGCCGTTGGCAGTGTGATGTCTCCAATTGTTGCCAACTTATTCATGGAGAGGTCATCGCCACGTGCATTGCCCCTGTAGAATGCAATGAGGGATGACTTGGTACCCCTGTCTGTCACTATTTTTCATGTACAATGTATTATGTAAACAATAAAAAATCAAACCACAATTTAGACATGTTATTCTCCTGTAGATACTACCGGACATTTCAATCAGTCCGAATTAGTAAAAGACGGAGCTGTAATTGCACCAAAAATAAAATGTTCCATTTTTATTTTTGACATGTTATATAAAACATTTCACAAAGAATCACTTTATCAGCTATCCTGCAGTAGGTCCTTTTCCTATAAATAAAATATTCAAGAGGGATCCTGGCACTCATTATGGCTACATCTTCCTTTGTTCTCCTTCTTTCCCCCTTTCTCCTTCACTTTTCTTTCCAGCTTTTGTTCGGAACTACATGAAAATTGAAAATTCTTCTCAAGAAACTATAAAAATAACCTATTACTGTCAAATCCAAGATGGTTGCCTGTTGGTTATTTTGTTCTCCTGGTCAGTCCCGAAATTTATAAAGCATAACAAGAGACCAAGAGGAATATTAATATGAAATTGGAGAAAGATCCTTCAAGTATTTCTACTGAAATAAACCGTTATTAATGGAAATATCCTGTCAAAATTCCAGATGGCAGCCTGTCTGCCATTTTGTAAAGCGAATCAATCCTAAAAATTGGACATTGCACAAAATGGGGCCAATGGGAACCTTCATGTGCAATTTGAAAATTATCTATCAAGTACTCCTCTTGAAAGAGTGATAACAAACAGATACTACTGATATCCAAGATTGCCGCCTATCGGCCATTTGGTTTATTAAATTGGTCCCAAAATGGGAAAACGTTCAACTAGGGTCAAAGGGGCCACAGCATTTGAAATTTAATATTTGTTGGCCACTTTGTTTCTTGAATTGGTCCCAAAATGGGAATATGCACAAATAGAGTCCAAGGGGTCACAGCATTTGAAATGCAATATCTATCCATCAAGTCCATCAAAAATTCCGATAACAATCTATTACAGTTCCAGAATTAGACAATTCACAACTAAGGACAAATGAGAACCTACAAATGAAATTTGAGATTAATCCAAGTATTAGAAATATTGATGGCAAACTAATACTGTCAAAATCCTAGAAAAAACATTACTGCTTCCCTAATAGAAGGTTCATGTATATGTGTAACTCGCCAAATGAATCCATGAATCTGGCAGCATTGACTCTGATTACGAAGTTTCTGAATTTGTTACAGTGGATATTCATAACATAACACTGCCTATAGCCATACTCCAATCAGTTTAATGGCAAATAACAACTTGTTGACAAAGCGACATAGATTTTCACTGCAACAATACTGCATGGCCAGAATTTCATACCCAGGTCTCAATTGATATTCGACAGGTGCAAATTCTATACTAACCCATTCTAATGTGGCAAACTTGAAAACAATAGGCCCATAGGTCTTGTATTACATGGTGAACATGGTTTTGTTAGGCTTATATTTTCATTTTTTCTCCAAAAGAAAAAGAATTTTAATTGTTTGCATATCTTTCTATTATCTCCAATTTCTCTGCCTGAACAGGGTCAGCAAAAGCATTTATACAAGTCTTGTTCACCTAAGAATGCTTCAGACCATTTGGGGATCACACTCTGTCATTCCTATCAGAAACAAGAGGTCAAGAGGACCATAGGGCCTGTATTGCTCATCTGGCATTGCTTGGCTGAAATAAAAACCAAAGGAAAAGGAATTCTAAATATCCAACTAGAGGCCCACGGGCCTTAATGATCATCTCACTATAAAGATCTATATATGAAAGAGGCCAAAAAGACTTAAAATGAATTACTAAACTACTGTTCATCTTACATCTAAGACATTGTGTGTTCATCATGACATTTTTGGCAAACTTGAAATCATATTGTTTACAATACTGTACTACACAATCGCCATTACTCTGCACATATTGCTTGTTGAAAAAGCAAGCTACAGGCCCAATATCAAGACCCTTGGCCTCTTGGTTATTGAAAAGAAGTTGCTTAAGCATTTTTACATATTTGACCCTTGTGACCTTGAAAGGTATGGTGACCTTGAACTGTCTGTTGTTCTAGTTTAGCATATTTGACCCCTGTAATCCTGTGAATGAAGGTCAATGGCGAAGCCTGATTAGGTCATCTTGATCCTTTGACCCCTCCTGCTCCAGAGTGCTGAGACCCACCATTTATACAAATTTTTCACCAACATTTAAATTTATTCATTTCACCCACAAATTCTTCAGACCAGCTCCAATCATTCCTACAGGCGAAGCAGGATTTTAAAGAAATTACTCTATTTCTCCTATGTGGTATCACCCCTCTGTTTCCACGAGGCAGAGATTCACTGTTTCTACCAATTTGATTCTTCTTCAGACCAAATATGGGCAAAATCTGACTATTCCTATAGGACAGTGGCCTCATTTCTCCATCTGCCCTTCAGGTCAAAATATGCTCTGTCGTTCATGACTTACTAGCAGTGTTTGAGCAGTTGTTGATTGATGATTGACAGATGCCTCAGTATGGCATAAGCTCACTTGAAAATGTGTCTGAATTGAAGTGAAAATCATTGCGAATACAGTTAAATTATTGCCATCTTTCATTAGAAAGAATGTTTGTATTGATTTACAATATAAATGTTGATACATAGGTAATTAATCTAGATCAGAAATTACCTTTGTGATTACTACTTCACTTCAAAAAAGAGCTTTTGATGGAATGATGTCTCAAAAACTCAGCTGTGAATATCATGTTCACCAATTTTTGCATCAACACATTTACAAAAAATAAATTGTTGTGTCAAACTTTTTGGTAACTTGTTAATTAATCAAAAGATGTTATCAAAATTGACATCTTATTTCCATCAATGAAAGTATCTGTTGCAGCTTAATGATATGTCATGTGAATCAAGGACATTGTTGCCCAGCTTATAAAGTGTTACAAAGGTAATGATCCATATAAGAAAAGCAATTTCTTTAAGTCCTATTTTGCCTTTGGGACTAATATGCTATGGATGAGAATGAAGTGAATCTCTGCCGTCAGGAATACAAAATATCATAATGTCCAGGTCGATAAAGAAGATACACAGAGGGCACAGAGTCCTCTGGAAAGTCATGATGATTACAGCGACTGCTGTCTCCTCGGTCCATATAAACCACTCGCACTGCTACTCCTAATGCAGAGGTCAAGGCCATCACTTGAAGGTGATCACTCTCTTTCCCCATAGGTTCAACTTCCTGTGATGGAAAAATCATTTTCTATAGTTTAATCTATCTAAAATAGTCTACTGGTTAATCAATAATATAAATGTAAGGTATTTATGCATGTCATATATTAGACTAAACAGTTGTTTACTGTAAACAAAAGGGCCTTAACAGTAGTAGAAACAGCTATTAAAGGATTTAAATAATCAAGATTACTTTCAGAGTACTTTAACTGTAAAGGGCCCATGGACCAGAATCATTTACTTGGTCTTCAGAAACTTTGTCGATTTAGAAAGTCAATTTCTGCTAACTTGAAACCCTATGCCTCAAACATGCTACTACATATATAGCATGACCAAGTATTCAACACATTTGACCACTGTACCCTTGAAAGTGGGTCAAGGTCAATCATTTGAATATTTCACAGAACCAATGTATATCAACAGCCTTGAGGAGCTGTTTGAAGATTTGAACACATTTGACCTTTGTAACCTTAAAATTAGGTCAAGTGATTCATTTGAACAAGTTTGGTGCAACATGCCCATTATCAGCATTAGCATCATGGGATATTTGTTTATTCTGAAGAGGTAGTTTTAAGCTATCATCCTGCAAGATTGACCTATTGATGACCAATGCTGTGCCTTGCTTTATAAAAAGATACATTAAAATCTTCCTGACAGACAGATGCCAATCAAATTGCATTTGAATCTAATTTCCTACTGCAACAATTTACAACTATGATGGAAGACACAAAAATTGTCTTTTTCTTTGCATCAATTAATAAATACCTGATTACAAAATTCTCTGACGGATCTTTCCCCTTCAATGAAGTTTTGAAAAAACTCTGCCTCTTTTTGGAGATATCCGGACACCAGTAATCTACAGCAAAGAGAAAAATAGACTTGTAACATTTACCTGTCAACTATTTCATAGTTGTTTATGTTCAATTCCTTAAAATAGATTGTAACATTTACCTGTCAACTATTTCATAGTGTTGATGTTCAATTCCTTAAAATAGACTTGTAACATTTACCTGTCAACTATTTCATAATTGTTCATGTCCAGTTCCTTAAAATAAGATTTCAGATTTTTTTTTCACTATCAGTATATAGAAATAGATAACAAGATGGTCACTTGAGTCACAATTCATCGTGTAACATGTCATAGAAATGATTTTGTTACAAAGAAATATAACTTTAACGATATTGTACACATAAAGCAAGTGTTAATTTTGTATTGTTAGTGTATAGTTGGGTTAGTCAAAATCAATATGTACATCTCATCCCCGCTTCCCTCGTACGCTTTCTGCCATGTTGGAAGACGGCAGATTTATTTACAGTTCTTTGTGCATGCGTCAGAGGGCAGGACTTCCCGCATAATTATGAATTAGCACTGAGTCGTTTCAAATTCTTTTTTAAAACTATTTATTACGTTACATTGGTAGCGATTTACTTTAAAATTGCGGTATTACAGGGTTAGTCAGAACTTTTGCTACCAGAGAAAAATAGAAAATCATGAATTTTCTTTTTTTATATAAAATAATATTCCGTCGATGAATGGGTCTGGCTCTTTAACATCTGTGCACTGCTGCCATCCTTGGGAAATGACCTACCTCCAGGTGTTTGACACTACATGTACCATAACTAAATACTCAGCCCAACCTTATCCCTTTCATGGAGAGGAGATCATGCTGTGTTTAATACAAAGTTGAGGGTATTGTCAGACTAGGATCCATGTGGAGTCAATAAATACATGTCTCTCACAATTGTGGGTTTGGGTTGATGAGAGAAAAATTCCATCAATGGAAATTACGATCCGACCCATAGATAAAGATATGTTGATCTGTGCTGGTAATGTTGAGTTACAGTGGAGAAAAAGGTACAGGGTGATGGAGTGTAGAGATGTTATGCCTCTATCTGAACTGTAGTGTAATGAGAAAATAACAAGAGATTCAAGAGGATCTTGGCACCCACCATTGTTTGATCTTTATTTGCTCTTTGAAAGTTGGATCTTTCCCCTTTCTCTGTTTTTGCTCTTTATGATAAGACATTTGATCATTCCTTCGCAGAAATTGTGATGAAAATGTTTACCTGCCAAACCCAAAATGGCTGTCTGGAAGCCATTTTGTTTCTTCTGATCAAATCAAACAGACAAATAGGAGAGACCAAAAGGAACATACGTATGTAATTTGAGAGTTACCCATTCAGCACTTCTAAAGAAATAGGTATAACAATCTTGACTAAGCGTAATACAAGATGGCTGCCTGTCGGCCATTATGTTCTGATCCATCCCAAATTAAAACAGGCAGAACTAGGGACCAAGAGGAACCTATACATGAAATTGATTGATAACAAACTTTCCAAGAAAAAAACCCAAGATTGTTGCTTGTGAGCCTTTCTGTTTTTTCTGATCAGTACCAAAATCAAACAGGCACAATGAGGGATCAAGGGAAACATACACATGAAATCTGAGAAAGATGTATTCTGCAGTTCTCAAGAAATAGCGATAACAAACTTTTATAGTCAAAATCTAAGATGGCTGTCTGTCGGCCATTTTGTTTTTGACAGTTGACAGAATACGGACAGGCACCAGATGCTGAGGTATCACAAAAATCTTGAATTTTACTTGAAGTTCATTTTATTTAGTAAAGATGTTTTAGGCTTGATGTACAAAGGGACCAATGGGTCACTGATAAAGGGCAATTTTATCAGTCAATGGTGAATTAAAATATCACACCTGTACATATACCACCATTTTATTAACAAGGTAAAACTTTTGCCTTTATAACACAGCTAATGATTACAAGTTTACCTGAGATACACCACCAGGTAGTCAGACGTTCCCTGGTCATTGAATGTTTCATGAAGTTCCTCCTTTGTACATGGTGTGCCAACTTTTTCCACTACATCCATGAACTACAACAAAAATTGTCTTGATTCTGTATAATGCCCATACAATGTATATTTACATTGGTTTACAAGAAATGGAGATGATTTTTTTTCCAATGCCATAGGTTATTGTGTTTATTTTCTTTGCACACCTTGTCACCTTGTAAATTTACAACAAAGACAAAATGAAGGACAAGAAAAGTCAAATAATTAACCAATTAAACACATTTACAACAAATTCATGACATGTTTTTCATTCACTGTCAAATGCCCAATAGCTTAAGAATTATGGTATCTTTCTAAAGGTTTTATCAAAGGAAAAAAATTAGTATGGCATCAATATTTGGAATGGACTGCAGAAGAAACATCGATACTATACTGAAATCTATCTTTTGATCAAACTACCAAAAGGACATTTTAATCCTTATATTTACAATGTAAACTTTGGGTTTCTATGCTTTATGTTTTGCTCAGTCATTACACTTAAAGGAAACAAATCCTCACCGCAATGACAAGATAATGCAAGGTGTGACATTATTCCCTGTTTAACAGAAAGACACACAATCATAGATATATGTAAATATTACAAAACAAATTTCACCACCACTGTTACAGATATTGTGATGCAGATCATCTTTCTTTAGTATGGTTTGTCAGCAATCACAAATTCAATGGTTTATGTTCTATAAACAACTAGTTAAAATTGCTATTTGTTATTTTCAATAGTTCGAAACACAAAAAGTACTGAAATGAAGAACTTCTACTACAGCACTGGCTTGATAGCTGTACTAAGTTCTGAGTAATTACCTTGAACGGTTTAAGAGAACTGGTCTGCAAAAACTGTTACCTGTTGTCTATAGTGCAAACATGAAACCTGAATGATGTCAAACATTTTTTACAAAATGGATTAAAATTTTTGACCGCCAAATGATTTCACTAAACTGACAAATTTTTTAGGACTAGATGAACATGAGGCCTAGCAGCCACCGGAGATAAGCAATATTACATATAAAGTTTAAAGGGTAGTCATTAAGTGTCATGAAACAGAAATTACAACACTTCATATAGTAAGCCAGTGTCATTAGATCAAAACCGTCATCCTATACTAATAATACTTACTAAGTTATTTCCAGTGAGAAATAACCAATGTTTAGCTCATAAATGCAATTTTTCTATGAAAATTACAGTTTAACCCCCATTGTGTGATCTTGATTTGCTCTTTTAAAGTTGGATCTTTTCTCTTCTCTGTTTTTGCTCTTGGTTTTAAGACATTTGAACATTCTTTGCAGAAATAGCAATGATAGTCAAAATATGGCTACTGAAAGTAATTTGGCATTCAAACAGCCACAAGGAGAGACCAAAGGGAAAACTAGTATGAAATTTGAGAGATATATTAAACAAATTTGTAAAGTAAATCATGTGTATATAAATCCACCATTTTGGAAAGACTTCCATTCATAATGTATCATTAATATGGGTTTGATAAATAGACAATTTTACTTGTAGGCCCTGTGTGTGAAGTAGTTATTACAAAATTTCATTGAAATTGGCATATATCGAAAATGTTAAGTTGTTTACAGCCCTAAGACGCACAACGCTGGAAGAAGGTGATCGCAATAGGTCACCATGAGACTTTGTCTCATGTGACCTAATAAGCAGCACATCCAAATGTTGAAAACATAAATTGGCTCTCTCCAGACCAATACCACCAGTAAACTGCAAATAACATATCAAGCCACTAACCTAAAGGTGAAATACAGACAGGCAATAACTACAACAGTTATTGTGAAGTGTTTTGGGAAAGCAGACTTTTCAAAAAAATTAACATTTGATGGAGATGAATTGCTCCTTGCCAGACTTCTAAGTGAAAAAGACAATGACATTCCTATTCAGGGCTTCAATGACAAAGTGCCTAAAGCAGCGTTTCAGAATACGATAATGGCAGCGGTTGCTAATACTGATAATGGTATTGTCAGTTTTACAAGAACGTTTGATTCTAAAATTGTTGATTCAATTCTTAATGTAGATGGTGATAATTCGTGTGGTGGCAATATTGTATTTTTTCTGTAAATTCAGTTTCATCAATGCCATTTAAACAGTATTTCAGCTATAAGTTCAATAATTTATTCCAAGGGTAATATTAATCATCTTGAATATTAATTTCTTTGAAAGATAAATGATATAGCTGACGAGTGCTTATGGCTACAGTTATCTTACATAATATTTAGACAAAGGTTGGTTAAAAAACTGCATCAAAATAGGCACTGGCATTCAGGATGAGTAGCATTGTAAAGTAAATCATGTGTATATAGATAAAGAAAGACTTCATCATAATGTTCATGTCTCTAAATTTATTGGTTTGTCAACCGGTTTCGCCCGAACTTGGTGGTCTTCATCAGGACATACAAACACCTTACCCTGAGCTTGTTGTGATCGATATTTGTCTTTGATTGCTCCTGATTCTTCACTCGCCCTGCATACCGGCGTAGGTATCCAAGTGACGGGTATCAGGAACATTATACGCCTGTTCTAAAAAGCATGGCGTTGGCTCTAGTCTCAGTTAGTTATATTGTCTTTATTGATTTCACTCAACTTTGTACTTGTTTTATTTTCTATGTATGAGTTGTAATTCATGTAGTATTTTGTCTTATTTTGGGTCTTGATAAAGAGGCAGATTGCTTAGAGAATTTGACAATTCACTTGGTCGTTTATATATATTTTGGTCACAACTCTGCTCCTGACTAGGGTTACAAATACACTTCATTTATACAAATTCCCCTTTTTCAGACACCTCCTCTCTCTTCTGCATCTGTGTGTAAAGCTATTTCTGTTCAGTGAGAAATTAAAGCTACATGCAATGTTACTCAGTAAGTGTAATTCTCAAACTGTACTTACAGTATCATGGAAGTCCTCTATTGTAAAGCGTGGGAACCCGAGGTCTACCAGCTCCTCTTTACTCCTCGAAGCTACCTCCTTAAACCTGGAAGAATATTTACAGTATATCATGATGAATTTATGTACCAAATACATTTACAAAATATCTTAATGAACAAAAGGATTTGATTCCTCACCTGTTCTCCACTTGAGAAAAAATTTCTTGCAACTTTTATATTCATCAGATGGTTAGTATGTCCTCTTTTTAGTATGCCACAGGTTACAAACTGCTATCTCTTCAGTCAGCCAAATTAAGGCATTTGCTTTTTCATCAGAAGTTTGTTGAACGATTTGGAAAAATTTGACCCTTATGACCTTAAAGTGATTAAAGGTGATTCATGGGTACTAACTTTGCAACTTTTCATCCTTTAACAACTGAAATAAAACAAGAGGCTCATGGGGCTTGTATTGCTGACTTTACTTGGCTGAAATTGCTTCATCAAAACAACAGGAAAAGGACTTCTTAATATTCATGGACACGAACACACAACATATCTGTTTTCCCATTGTACCCCAACCCTCTGTCCCTAGTGGGTCTGAAAAACCACTCATGTTTCATAACAAATTCAGACAGAATCCTTCAATTCTTGAGAATATTGAGTATTTTAATATGTTATTAATACTGTGATGGTAGGCACTTGTATATTTATAATGTAAAATTGTAATGCCCCCCTTTTAGCACAGGGACAGTAACACACCTGTTTAATTACAGTCTCCCCATTAAAGTGTTAACTTTATGATCTTAGTACCAGATTTGTTTAGGTTTTGCCCTTCCCTACATAGTTGTAAAGCCCCTTTGATCTGTGGTCATATCTCACTACTGAAGGCCCTGTCCATGGGGCACGTTTCCAATTACAGAATCATTAGTGCAGCAGCAGGCACATATTTTGCCCTATTTTCTTTTTTTCTCACCCAACCCTTCTCCCAATTGTTTATATCTGGGTTTTAATTCTTATCATTACTATCAATATGTATATATATATATATTTTTTTTTTTCATATAATTTAGAAAGCAGAAGTAGTTTAGTAGGAAGACCATAGTCTAAGTTTAAACTACAATAAATAATGATATTGCTAATTGTTATTATTATTGTTTATTTTGTAATGTGTAATAAATTATGGTCTGAAGTTCACCCAAACCAATGTGTATGTTGTCTTCATTAATGGCTAGCATCTTCTACTAAAATTGGATTAATACAGAAAAAGGATTTTAAAGGATTTGTACTGTTTTCCCTCTAATGCGCTTTGCCCCTTCAGCCCATGGCTGTCGAGTCTCAAAGTTTATATACAAAATTAATTTGCCTTTACCCAACAACACTTCAAATCAAATACAGGACTTGTAGGATTTTAGAGAATTTGTGCTATTTCCCCTATTGGTCCCTGCCCCTTGCATCCCTGGGGACGGAGACTCATTTACATAGCATTTTCCTTCAACAGGAGGAGTAGGATTTTAAAGAATTTGTTCTATGTCCCTCATTAGGCCCTGCCCTTCCCGTCCAAGAAGGCACTGAGATCCCCTTATGCTGTCAATTCTTCATATCAAATTTGGGCAAAATCCAATCATTCTCACAGGAGGAGTAGGATTTTGAAGAATTCGCTCTATTCTCCCTGATGGGCACTGCCCCTCCTGCTACAGAAAACCACGACCCGTTGTATATACAAAACTGATTCTCCTTCATCTTAGAACGCTTCCGGCCAAATCTGGGCAATACCAATCTTAAAATTTCCCTTTCGGGCATCGCCCCAAGGCCCCTGGGGGCTGAGACCAATCATTTATTACAAAATTTGTTTCACTTCCCCAAAGGATGCTTCACATCAAATTTGGTCAAAATTCTATTAGTCATTTATGACTAGTAATGATTTTTAGGAAACAAGGACCAACAGAGACTGGTTATGCTCCCCCATTGGGACAAATAACAGAGGGCAATAGGAGAGTTATGATTCTCTTGTGGCCTGCCCTACTCATTGAGAACTATCTACCAAGGAAGTTTCATTTTAATGCCTCAAACAGTTTAAGTGTAATGCTCCAGACAAAATGTAAGTTTGAAAAATAACAAACTGCAATAACTTCTAAATTATGCAAAAAAGAGTGATTGTTGTTGTGCACTGTACTTCTCCTTATTTAGGTCTATCTACCTGTGGAGTTTTAGGTTGATACCTCTTATAGATTTTGTGTTATGCTCTGGACAAAATTATGATTGACAGACAAATGGATGGATGGATCCCTTCTGGGACCATTAAAACAAGACAGATGGACACCGGGCCGGATACCACAGTACGCCATTAGCTCAATCGGCTCTTAACGACGTGAAGGAAAATAAAAGTTTCTTAACAATTGAAATATTAGTGTTTCAAAAGATAACAAAATTATAATCCACATATTTTTCAAGGTCCCAAACTGGCACCTGTCCTTGCCAATCTTTTGTCTTGTTAGTTACTTTCACGTTTTCAACCATTTCGTCCTGATTTTGCATGGTATTGACCTGGATAGTGTGAATTAATATAAACAGTAATTTTCTTATTTATTATTGTTGTTCATAAATACATTGTCAAACCCTTTTGTGTCAGTTTTGATGCCTGATTATCCTGACAATCAATGACAGCAGCCTCACAGATTCTTTGATTTTTACATGTAAAATTGAGAAGCCCAAAGGCGTTAACGGTTACCTGAGTCACAATGCTTCTTGTAACATGTTATAGAAATGATTTTGTTGAAGAACGTAATATGAATTAACTAAATTGTACACATAATGTAAACATAAATTGTGTATACGTTAACTGCTATTTTATGCAAAGTCTGAACTAAAAGAAATTACACTCAAAATTTGAATTTTTCTATATAAAATCTACCATCCAGAAACAGTAGAACATCTTTGAAATTTCAGCCAAAGTCAATAAGTGCATCTCATCAAACTGGCCCATGGGCCTACAGTGCTCACCTGGTATTTACAGTACTCATCATAGGAATTCAGGCATTTTCATTTTACTTCCCAGACAAAAAATTGGTTTGGGTGACAGATTGGGGTGATAAATCCCTATCCGATGCCTTGAAAACAGTGTCACTATGGATCATGAGGACTTGTGTTATGTGACTTAATCACCAAAATATGCAATGATCGATTTGCCATGGACCAGTATCAGGGGTCTCGGTGATGCTGCCCTGATTTACCTGTGCTAACTTGGCTAATGAATTGATATACTTGGGTTACTTCCCTTCATCTACCGTAAATAGGGACAAGGGCTTACTCGCTGAAAGGCCGAAAGCAGAGAAAACCCCGTTATATAGATTATTAGTGACAGACTGTGATCAGATTACTTACCATATGTTAAATACCTGAGATATAACTTATAGATAATAATCCATAGAAATACATTTCGTGAGAATTGTGTTCAAAGTCATCTCGCGAGGATAAATATCACGACAGTGTATATAGATAAATAATTTCATAGCGTTTTATATCTGGACATTATGGCACTATAATGCAATAAGTTTTTATGTTTGTCAATAAAACTAAACACATTGATGAGTTTTAACCGTCATTGTTTATAAATACGTATCCATACAGCCTACAAATTTGGTACAATTCTTCTACAGACATTAGATACTTTGTTGTACAAGGTTTTAATAATTAATCCTATGAAGTCTTAGTTATAACAATAAAAAAAAAAAGATGAAATAAGATGGAACATAGGTTTTAGTTTTACATCTGGTAAAAAAAGCATCAAATTAGAACAAAAATGCACCTACATTCTATAACAGTTTGCATATTATTATATCAGTACTGGTTGGGTGGTCCTTTATTTCTCGTTTGCAATGCATGTTGACTTTCTGTATCTTGGTTTATTTGTCTTCATTTGAAATCCTGTTTGATGAAGTTTAATTCATTATCGACTCTGGCATATTTCATTCTTAGTTTAATTTTATGTACTGTTATACATCCATGAAATGACTGACATTGAGTTTAGGTTGTAAGGTAAAACCACCAAGATCTATAAGAACGTCAATGACAGTGAGAACGTATAGATATTTGATTGCGGTATGAAATAGTACATGTATTATATATAATAGAAACGTATACATTTAAATACTGTATATCATATATGTTTCCATGTATAAAAGTTGGAATACCCATCACATTTTTTCTTCTTAATATACGATATACATATCTGGTAAAAGTAGTTGAACATTATCGTTCTGTTTGATTTTCAAATGAGACTTTGTCTCAAGTGAGCTTAAAAGGAGGTCAAGGTCAACAATATGGTCAACAAAGTTGGTAGCCTTTCATGCTAGCATACAACAGGCCCAATATCAGCACACTGGGCCCTGTTGAGAAGACGTTTTTAAAGATTTCAACACATTTGACACCTTTGACCTTGAAATCAGGTCAAGGTAATTCATTTATACAAACTTGGAGTCCTACCATCCCAGCATGCTACTGGCCTAATATCATGACCCTGAGGTTTGTTTGGTTATTGTGAAGAAGTCGTTTAAAGATTTTGACATATTTGATACATGTGAAATTGAAAGTGGGTCAAGGCCATTTATTTGGACAAACTTGGATTCCTATCATCCCAGCATGCTACTGGCCAGGTGCACTTAAAATGTTAACAGAGGACAGTTGACATTGGAGAAAGCTTTGCTCAGATGATCTGATAATGCAAATCTTTTGAGTAATGAGCCACAAAGCCAAAAATCTACAAACCTGGAAAAATCCACTTGATTGGTCAGCAATTGTTCTAAGTAGGCAAACCCAAATGCTCGGTAGAAACAGTTGCCATCACCTCTTGTCTTTCTTACACATTTATACCTGCTTTTCAAATCCTGTAAATATATCATAAGCTACATTCACTGAAGTGCATGAATCATGTAAACAAAAGACTTGATTGTTATTGGTTCAATGTATTACTTGTATGAAATGTTATTTTAATATTTTATATCCAATGCATATATGACAATGATGGGAATTTAGTTAAAATCCATAATCAATTATTGGTTGAAATTAGATAGGTCTTAAAACGTTGTGAACTGATTACGCAATTGGCTATGTGTTTAATATTCATTAAAAAGTGATGCATTCTCAATTGCAGTGTTATTTTCTTTTTTTTGTACCTTTAATTTAAGATAGCATAAGGATGAATGTTATTGGCAATTGATGTCTTTAATCAGGCATAATAATAAGTTTATTTTTGCTTAAACACAAGAAAAAAATTCAGGATCCTAAGTCGTCTGAAACTTAAGGTCATGTCTTTTAACATATTTCACCTCTATGACCTTGCAAATAGGTCTAGACTATTTACTTGAGGAATCTTCATGGCACTCCATACAAGGTACTTACTTGCCTAAAATAAGTACCTGCTTTGTCTTATGTGACCTGAGAAAAAGATTTTTAAAGATGACAATATGCCATGGTCACGTCTGATCTCAGCAATACCTATTTTACCATGGAGATAAAACTCTGTGTGTATTGTCTTAGCCTGTTAAGTGCCCCATTATCTTGTTGTATTGATTTATGTAAGGCATTTATTTGACACCGACATTTAATCACTGCTCTTTCACACAAACTCTAAGCTTATGCTGTGTCCCCTCTTTCACTTTCGTTCTTTTTTTTAGTTCTGACGTAAGTTATAGTGGCTTAACATCTGATTTGTTACCTATCAGTATAAGTGTTCCACAAAGCCTTGGGCCTCTATTGTTAATTTTAGTAGAAATGATTATCTTAAATGTTTAAAACATTCCTCAGTAGTTATGTATGCTGATAACACTTCACAGAGTGACAGGGATGAATAAGTTGATTCATTAGAAGAGAAAATGCCAGAGGACTTAAAATGTACAATCCAGTAGATGAGAGAAAATAAACTTAGTCTCAATCTCAGCAAAATGCAGTGCATGTTGACTGGATCTACTCGAAATTATAAAAATATCATGAGTTGAACATAACTATAGACAACTTGCCCATTGGAACTGTAAAATGTGCTTAACTTCTCTTGGTGTTTTAGCAGGTTATAAACTGTCTGTCTTGGAAAAAAACACCAATTACATTTCCAGGAAAATCTTACATTAGTTAGGTGTTCTGAGATGACTAAGATCATATATGACAAATGATTTTCTTAATAAAGTTTATCAAAGGATAGTTTTCCCACATTTTATTTAATGTTCAGATGTTTGAAGTGAAGCAAGTAATAAGTCTTATATCCAGAAAATTTCCAAACTAAAGCGGAGGGCAACAGGAAAATTATTAAGTGTCACAGATATTCTTAATCCTTCTATATTGTTTTTCAAATGCTTCATGTGACTCCCAATTGAAGAATATTTTGATTTTAGGAAAGTAACAAAATATAACATGGAGATGCTCCCCAACCGTTTTATGTAATATGTTTACTTATATCAGAGGTGTCAGATTAAGGAATTTGAGGTCTTCTGTTTCCAACAAATTATATATTCATTCAGCTAGAACTAATCGTTTTAAATGTAAATTTGTGTATTCATGTTCACTTTAACTAAACGGTATAAATGAAAATATTAGAAACGCTGGTAGTGTTGCTGCTTTCAAACATAAATACCTAAAGGATTTTGTTCTCAAAATGTTAGATTTGCACATACTTTATCTGTCAAATATTATGGTATTTTAATCAGAATCATATGGATCATTATATATATCATTAAATATAAATGAAAATGTGAAACTTTAAAATATTTTGTATGTATTGTATGTTTGCTATATCTTAATCTTCATAATTTATGTCTTTTATGATATATTTATGTGAAATCTTACAGTGATACTCGTATATTACTGCAGGGCCATATTTTATATTAGACACGCCCTGCATAAATAAAAGAGGTTATTTATAAGTCAACAGTTTATTTACATATTAGTGTATTTAGTATGCAGATGTGTCGAAGAAGTGATATTTTTTCCTTTGAAGTATCCTAATATTGGACATGATACAGAAACAAAAATTTTTTTTGAAAAAAATAGAAAAAAATGCCTGTGTACTGGAAACAGTTTTGGTATGGTAAATAGTTTGGTATTCACCAGTTTCATAGTAAATAAGAGGCCCATTGGGCCTGTATCACTCACCTGCATCTTAAAGCTCAGCAATGGTACACATGCCTATAGATTGGGTTTTTTTTTCAAATATTCCAAATTAAACCTGTCACTTTGATGGGGAAAGACCAATGGGTAAATCCTTATATCATGACAGTCTTTTTTTCTGTTGATGCCCAATAAGAGTTTATGTGGTAATTGGATCTGTATATCAACGAAGTCAAAATTGTGACTCAGAAATTAAGTCCAGAGGGGTAGGGCCACACCAAAGGGCCAGTTCTTTATATCATAGATGTGTTTTTCTCTTAGTGCCCAGTATTCCTATAAATGGTTGTATTGCAGGAATCTCAAATGTTTCAAAGATATTACCAAGAATGTCAGTCCCTAGGAATGAGGCCATACCCTAGGGTAATTCTTACATCATGAGTGTGATGATCAATAGTACAAGGAAATGTAACACTAAAATGTTGGTCATTTTTACAAAGCTTTAAATATCCATACCTGGATTTTTCCTAAGTAGGTCTCGTCCTCTTTTGAATAATCAGCACTGACAGCATCGAAATCAATCATTAAGCTCACAAGGGCTTGGTTCTCAGCAACCTCAAGAAGAAAAAGGAGGAAAAAAAACAAATTAATCACATAATGGCATAAATCATCATCAGACTTTGTTCAGATTACAATGGCCACCAACTTTACAAGCATCTTTTCTGGAACTTCCATGTTTAAGTGAATTTCTATCAACATTTGTCTACCTCTTGATGAAGGGGTTTGTTACGAACACCATTTCATTCAACAAACACAATAGATGTACTTTCTTTGGCATTTGTGTTTTAAAATAATTTTTTCTGCTATTTCCCCTGAAATTTTTAAAGCAAGATGCCCAAAATGGCCTATATCACTCACCCGGATTTGATTGGCTGATAAAGGAAAAGGAAACCTGAACATCCAAGCACACAACATACAACATACAATAAATCTCCAGTCAGTTTGAATAGGTGAGTATAGTTTGAACACATGATATTTTCAATAAAAACAATAATTTTCTGTCTAGTGATAGTTTGGTTCCTTTCTAATCTTGTTTCACTAACAATTTGATTTGTTCGAACATATCACAAGTCCACATACATGTCACTTAATTAGCATTTATTTAGTGTGATTTATTTCACATCTTGTTCTTACACTATGATCGTGGCAGCTGACACAACCTATTGTGTATTGTCAAAGAACAACACTGTTTCAATTCAGATATCCTTATAAGATAATCTTGTCAAGACTCTCTCCCACTTCCCGTCAAACCATTCATAAGTCAGACTAAATTGAGAAAGAATCCTGCCACTGCTACAGAAGAAGAATTATAAAGGGGTATCATGGTAAAAACATTTACATTTCTATGCTATCTGAATATTTATATCGGGCTGCATCCTAGGAACATACCAGCCAAATATCATACTTCTAGGATTCTTAGTTCATGAGGAGAAGACATCTAATTGCTTTAACAAATTTGACCCATGTGACCTAGAATATAAGTCAATGTCATTTATTTTCACAAACTGTGTTGGGCTTCATCCTAGGTACATACCAGCCAAATATCATGTCTCTAGGCCTTTTAGCTCATAAGAAGAAGTCATTGAAAAGGTTTTTAAAAATGTGAACTTGATTATATGTCAAGGTCATTTCTTTTTGCAAACTTTGATGGACTGCATCCTAGGAAGAACATGCCAGCAAAATATCATGCCTCTAGGCCTCTTAGTTCATGAGAAGAAGTTGTTTTAAGTGTTTTAACAAATTGGATCTATGTGACCTAGAATATAAGCCAACGTCATTTATTTTCTCAAACTGTGTCGGGTTTCATCCTAGAAACATCCCAGCCAAATATCAAAACATTTATTCCAATGGTTATTGAGAAGAAATTGTTTAAAGAAAAATGTTGACACTGGATGCCGCACCACGGCATTAGCTCACTTGGCCATTATATTTTAACATATTTGACTGCTACGACCTTGAAAGCATGTTAAGGTCATTGATATAACCAAACTTGGTAGCCCTTCATCATAGCATGTTACAGGCCCAATATCAGCACCCTCAGCCTTTTGGTTATTGAGAGGAAGTTGTTTAAAGATTTAACATATTTGTCATCTGTGACCATGAAAGCAGGTAAAAGTCATTATTATCAACAAACGTGGTAGCCCTTGACCATAGGATGCTACTGGCCTAATATCAGCACCCTGGGCCTTTTGGTTATTGAGAAGAAGTTGTTCAAAGATTTTGACATGTATGACCCCTTTGACCTTGAAAGCAAGTCAAGGTCATTCATATTAACAAACTTGGAGGCCCTTCATCCCATCATGCTATAGGCCCAATATCAACACTCTGGGTCTTTTGGTTATTGAGAAGAAATCATTTGAATGGAAAGTTTATGCACAGGGCTCGGGGGACAATGACAGATAAAATAATTATTTGCCAACTGCTACTGGTGTTACAGACAAAATCTGAATGAAATCCATTCAAGAATTAAGGAAGAATAGCAGGCCATTGCGACGATTATGCAAGGTCAAAGGCAAAAACAGGTTGCCAGACACTTCAGTGTCTCATATTTGCACTATAGAATGTCTTGTTAGGCGTGCAAGGGAAACTTGCACAGATGCTGGCAGACTTGGTCTGGGCATCTGCACATGACGTCACAACATCAAGAGGTTTGTTTGGCTCACACGTTTACGCAATCGTCATGTTACTGCCACTGAATCTGCCTTTCATACCACAGGTACAAATAACTGTCCTATCCATGCAAAAACTGTAAGGAAACAATTGCGGGAAGTTGATCTACGGGCATGTTTGTAGGCCTACCCCTTACTGCTGCTCATTGCCAGCGTCATATGGCTTGGGTGGTGGCACATGCCCCCAGAATATTCCCATTGAGGCAGTGGATGTGGGTCTTGTTTATTGATGAGTCCCAGTTCACACTGTTTCAGGCAGACTTTTATCAACGTTTAGGCAACTGCTGCGTAGTAGGGACAGATAGGTTTGGGGGTGTATCGGTTACGTTGTGGGGAGAAATCTCACATGGAGTGAAATCACCACTGGGTGTAATAGTGGGTAATGTAACTGTCACTAGGTATAGAGATGAGATCCTCCGACCCCATGTTGTCCCTTTATTGCAGCAAAACAACCTCTCATTTTGACAGGATAATGCTCGCCCCCATGTAGCTAGGATCTGTCGTGACTTTCTCAACGACAAAATCCACCATCTGGACTGGCGGTTATACAGCCCCAACCTATCCCCTGTTGAGCATTTCTAGGACAAGCTGGATAGACAGCTTAGACGGCGCCAGCCTCGCCCTGTAATCTGGCCCTGTTGGAAGAATGGGACAACATCCCAATGAGGAGGATAAACTCACTCATAAACTCCATGCCTAGGAGAATCAGAGCTGTGGAGAGAGTGAATTGGGGATATACTCTGTATTGACTAGCCAGCTCTCATAATCAATCCCGTTTTTGATTTCAGATCACAGAGTTCTTTTTCAATTCCCTTCAATTACTCCTAAATCACTTACCAGATACAAATTGTTGATTTTGCAGTTTGTTCTGTATGGATTGATCTTCATTCTTACTTTAAAACATTAAACATTATACTTCGACATCTTGCCCAGAATCATCTTCAAAGTTTACCCTGCGTTTCTTTATGCCTTGAGTATACAATCTATTCTGAATCCACACATAAAGCCAATCAAAGCCTGTACAAGAGGAACAAATGTTTTCCCAGTCCTCTTGCAAACATTCTCCCCTTCAGAAGCATGTATATCACAGCCTGTACAAGAGGAACAAATGTTTTCCCAGTCCTCTTGCAAACATTCTCCCCTTCAGAAGCATGTATATCACAGCCTGTACAAGAGGAACAAATGTTTTCCCAGTCCTCTTGCAAACATTCTCCCCTTCAGAAGCATGTATATCACAGCCTGTACAAGAGGAACAAATGTTTTCCCAGTCCTCTTGCAAACATTCTCCCCTTCAGAAGTGTGTATATCACAAACTGTACAAGAGGAACAAATGTTTTCCCAGTCCTCTTGCAAACATTCTCCCCTTCAGAAGCATGTATATCACAGCCTGTACAAGAGGAACAAATGTTTCCCCAGTCCTCTTGCAAACATTCTCCCCTTCAGAAGCATGTATATCACAGCCTGTACAAGAGGAACAAATGTTTTCCCAGTCCTCTTGCAAACATTCTCCCCTTCAGAAGCATGTATATCACAGCCTGTACAAGAGGAACAAATGTTTTCCCAGTCCTCTTGCAAACATTCTCCCCTTCAGAAGCATGTATATCACAGCCTGTACAAGAGGAACAAATGTTTTCCCAGTCCTCTTGCAAACATTCTCCCCTTCAGAAGCATGTATATCACAGCCTGTACAAGAGGAACAAATGTTTTCCCAGTCCTCTTGCAAACATTCTCCCCTTCAGAAGCATGTATATCACAGCCTGTACAAGAGGAACAAATGTTTTCCCAGTCCTCTTGCAAACATTCTCCCCTTCAGAAGCATGTATGTCACAGCCTGTACAAGAGGAACAAATGTTTTCCCAGTCCTCTTGCAAACATTCTCCCCTTCAGAAGCATGTATGTCACAGCCTGTACAAGAGGAACAAATGTTTTCCCAGTCCTCTTGCAAACATTCTCCCCTTCAGAAGCATGTATGTCACAGCCTGTACAAGAGGAACAAATGTTTTCCCAGTCCTCTTGCAAACATTCTCCCCTTCAGAAGCATGTATGTCACAGCCTGTACAAGAGGAACAAATGTTTTCCCAGTCCTCTTGCAAACATTCTCCCCTTCAGAAGCATGTATATCACAGCCTGTACAAGAGGAACAAATGTTTTCCCAGTCCTCTTGCAAACATTCTCCCCTTCAGAAGTGTGTATATCACAAACTGTACAAGAGGAACAAATGTTTTCCCAGTCCTCTTGCAAACATTCTCCCCTTCAGAAGCGTGTATGTCACAGCCTGTACAAGAGGAACAAATGTTTTCCCAGTCCTCTTGCAAACATTCTCCCCTTCAGAAGCGTGTATGTCACAGCCTGTACAAGAGGTACAAATGTTTTCCCAGTCCTCTTGCAAACATTCTCCCCCTTCAGAAGCATGTATGTCACAGCCTGTACAAGAGGTACAAATGTTTTCCCAGTCCTCTTGCAAACATTCTCCCCTTCAGAAGCGTGTATATCACAAACTGTTCAGGAAATTTCTATCTTTTACGAATGAATGATTTTATATATTTACCTCTTTTTCAATTTTCCTTTGCTGCTCCATGGTTGCTTCATCATAATTTTTGGCTGTAATGAATGGAAATATAAATCTGCAATTAATCCTTCTATATAAGACTTTATCAATTTACTCAAAACAAGACACCTAATAAATCCAGGGCTCTCACTCCCCATTCTGGGACTGGGGCCCGGGGCCCTTCGAATTGGGAAAAATAGCAGCATTTTCCTTAGAATTGGGAAAACTTGGGGTCTAAATTAGGAAAAAAAGATACCATTTTGCATTGGGAATGGGGCCGAATATCGGTCCCAAATCTGGCAGATCGAGAGCCCTGAAATCTCACTTCCTTATGCACCCAACATACCAATGATCAAATAGCTTTGCCTTTAACGGTAGACAATATTTTGAAGGTATCTGTACACTGACATAGATATCACCTGGGTAGTACCCTGAATTAATTTTTGTCTATTGATGTGGTTGTAACGGAGTGCATTCGGCTAAAGGTGAATTTCATTATCTGTTCACACTTCAGCTTTCTCAAAGTTGCTTTTGGGAATCTGCGCCACAAATCTGACATAGTGACTGGTGTAAAAACAGTGGGAATATCACATAATATAATAGTCTTATAATCAGTCTTATTTCAGCATTGACCGTGCACTTTGTTGTGTAGAGGTATTATAAAACTAGAAAAAATTATTGATGTTTATGCAAAATTCTTAAAAACAAAATATGGGAAACTCATGAAACCTAACACAGCCGAGATGAACAATAAGTAATGAAACAATCGGTGAACTCTCCAATATCTGCCCAACATGTTAATTGGAAGACACATGTCAATTTCAGGAGGTGCTGACATCCCTTTCATGTCAAAAATATACCTGGGTGAACACCTTGACACACCTGGGCACAGATAGGTGTGTGTACAGTGTAACCTTCTGGTCTCGTATATAAGCAGACTTATAGATATTGTATCATTACTACAAAGCCTATACAAAGCCCAATGTTAACTATTATGTATATCAGAAAATAAAAAAAAAAACAAAACAAAACAGAATAGTTACATGTAAGTATTCTTAAAATACTTACATGTCTCCTTATCATAGTACATTATAACAAGAAGCCCGTGGGCCCTAACAGTCATCTGACTACAAAAACTTTCAGCGGGGAGAAGCGTTATTTTTTCTACTTTGTATGAAGTCTTACTAAGTAGCTCTTTTTCATGATGACAGTAGTTTTTGAGAAGTCTGAAATAGGTGTTGCACAGGAAAACCATGATTGCACAATCACGTTACAAAATGGCCTCCCTGGCTGCTGTATTGAAGTTTTGACAAGGTAAAAAAATAACAACACTTTGTTGGCTAACTTTTCTTAACATGCCACCAATCTTAGCTCAATGGCACTAGTGGAACTAGCAAAGAAGTTTAAAATATATTTTTCAATATGGCGGCCATCTTGGATTTCAGACATTACCGAAAAATAACAACACTTGGTCAGGACCATCTCAGGATCATTTCATGCAAGTTTGAGCTCAATCCAACTGGTGAAACTTGAGAAGTTTGCAATGTTAAAAGTTAACGCAAGGCAGATGGTTCACTGCAGCCGAAAACAGATGAAGCACAATATATAGATGTACAACAAAACAAAGGTTTTGCTTTTGGTTAATGTCTTTTTGTTCTAGGATAACAATTGGCAATCACTGCCATGTTGATGAAGAGGCTGCTTAATCTCTTAACCATTAAATGATATGCATATATGTGTACATTTTTTGTCCTACATGCGGAAGTTGATGATGTTAAACTTTATTTGCACGTGTGTTACTATGTAATTTGTACGCTTCCCCTGAAGATATTGTCCTTGTCACCAAGTTCGATGACCACATTTTTGCAACTGTAATTCAAAGATATGGTCCTTTATTCAATTATCAAAACAGCGTCTGCTCGAAATTACTTTTCAACAGATCCAACTTCAAACTTCTTAGGCACTGTAACAATATGCTTTAATGTACATTCATTTCTATGTCCATTCTTCAAAATTAATTGACCTATTGTACTGCGCCTGTACAGACACTGTAACTCCTCTTCAGCCCATGTGAATACAGGGCCACTTTCATTTATTCGGTTGTAACAGCACGGTTAAAATATTACTATGACAGGGCCAATTAAGCCTCGTAAATGTATTCATAAACAATTAAGCTGATTACTAAGGGTAGGATAATGGTGCAAACAATTAAATGTTTGTGATTAATAAAGTGAAGGTAATGCACAATATTAACATTTTTTCTTTCATACATGAAACGAGAAATTATTGATAAAATTGCAATATCATTGTAATATTATGATACAACTTTAACATTCAAATATTTATTTCAAATTGCAACAAAAAGAAAGCTGAAAAAATACAAATATGTTAAGGCCCTGGGACAGTTATTACAGAGTTATAACATTAAAGCCCTGGGACAGTTATTACAGAGTTATAACATTAAGGTCCTGGGACAGTTATTACAGAGTTACAACATTAAGGCCCTGGGACAGTTATTACAGAGTTATAACATTAAGGCCCTGGGACAGTTATTACAGAGTTATAACATTAAGGCCCTGGGACAGTTATTACAGAGTTATAACATTAAGGCCCTGGGACAGTTATTACAGAGTTATAACATGGAAGTATTACTGAATTAATTATCAAAGGTAATGCAAGAATCGTCATTTTTTTCAAACTATATGAATATGATCAAGCATATTTTTATGATTTTAATAAAACACAATAAATTGCATACTATTACATTATTTCAATAATTTATTATGCAAGACGAATGTAGCAGGGATAATGTGTTAGTTCTTATCAAATTATCGACTTGAAACACAGACTTAGGGATGCAGTCCATGCTGGAAGTATGAAGATAAATACTGATATATAATTATTTTACCTGAAATGTGTTTTGTCACGATATAATGCCATAATATAAATAAATGGTGTTAGACTCGGCAGTTATCTATCATATACACCAATGTTGGAATCTATACTTTCTTTGTACCTATGTTAATATATGTAGACTCAGAGGATTATTGTTAAATTCTACAAAGTTCCAACTGCATTTGTTTTCTTTCCAACCTTGGTTCTACCTGGAGTCCTCAGTTAAACCGTGCGAGATTAGCCACTGAAAACGGTCCGGAACGGAAACGAACCGTGTAGTACGTTTACTGGTTCAACCAGTTTGTCCGTTACAACCGCATAAATGAAAGGTTCCCATGTGATTTGACGTAAACACATGTGTTGGTGTTCTGTGCCGTCTCAACGACAATCTAATCTCGGCATCGCAATGAAACATGCAGGTTCATTTCCATTATTTCTTCCCTTTCCTGATGAAAAATGCTCATTCCACCTCCGATATTCTCAAACTATTAAAATTTACTACGATAGTAGGACCACGGTAGGACCAGTATTGTACTAATTATAAAAGTTCCTAGCTATCGTTATCAGATTAGTTTGAAAATTGTTCTACTTCCTAGTGTTTTGAGGGAAAATACTTGATCTATGGACTTCTAAATAAAACTGGTATATTAACAATGATAGTTGCCACAACTTTATTTGCTGCATGTTAAGAAAGGGATAGAAACAGTATGGACCGGAAGAAGGGAATCGTTCCAATCACGTGACTTGGGTCAGAAGTAAACAAGAGGAAGGTAAGACCTTAATAAAAGCAATTCAGACGCATTGTTTCCATGTATCGCAAAACGTTTTTGTGTTATCAATTTGATGATATCTTACCTGGATCGAAGGAAAATGCTTCAGCCATCGTTCTTAGATGATCTATAAATAGTGCTAGCGGACAACACCGAACAAGCGGCGTGAATCTATTACGATAACGGTCACCGGAAATGTATGGTGATAATAACTGAGGCTAGACTTTGTTCGGGAAGCGTGGTAGCGTCAAGCATAATGGCCCGGCATAGTCCGAAACTTCTGCAAGGCCGAAAGTCCGTTGCAATGTCATGGTAGGGTATTTACAGTAGTCATGAATGACATAATACACATGAAATAAGCATTGTGAAGGACGAGGAATTGTAATCAATATGTATGAAATGAAATATACAGTAGCCGCTTTAGGTGCAGAAAAAAAGTATTCTGGTATATTCTAAAGCTTAAAACACCAGCTGAGAAGTCAACAAAAGCGTACTTTTTGGACATTGTTATATCGGCGCCCGAGAGTAGCTCTGTAAAGACTATATTATGACACATCTAAGTGTTGCTTTTATTCCCATACGGTTCATTTGAAAAGGGAAAAATGTTATGTAGACTGTGTAACGTTAAACATCGGCGGAACGCGACGATTTCCCCCAAAACATCCGAAAACTACTTGCAAACAACTAATAACCCATCCAAAAAACATCTAGAAACAGGAAAGGATATAAACGCTGTTTTTTATGGTAAAAAGATATTCCTTGTGAAGTCACTGCTCTCGAAAGGGTCAAGGTTTAGAAAGGGAGATAACGTAAACGCTTGCACGTCGGTAACATATATCTTTACGAATAAAATTATTATTATTTATTTAACAATTTCATTTATATTAACATGGAAAAGTCATTTTGCAGTCTCACTTGGGTATAGAAGTGTCTCAAATGGGGTCATTTTAAGGAATATATGTATCTGAAGTGAGTATTTGCAGGGATACGTCCCTGGTATTTGGCGAGTAGGATATTGATGTTCTAATTTTGGTATTTGACTGAAGTAAAATCCTTTCACTTAGTAAACACATGGATATAATCACATAATTGAACACTGGAAAACACTGGCCAAAGTCTTGATTGCGATCACCACCCCGCATATCTACATATACATTTGTTGTGAATGGAGATACGAACACATGCATGGTCTAAGAATTGAGGTCTTCCGATCCTGTAACTAAATTTGTAGGAAATACACACATGACTTAAGAATTGACCCCGTGCTCACCCAACAGTTGTCCCTAGGACACTAATTAGCCCAGGGTCAAATAATGGAAACTGTTCATACCCCTACCATGTAACTAAATGTTCATTTTGCTGAGAAATGAGAGTTGAATAAATACGATGTGACACCCCTGGGGTCTTAGCCCGGGGAACAGTTGAGATTCTATCCTTATACTGACATGTGCATGGGAATGAAGATCATGAATACACAAATAACTTATAAGAGCTGACAAACGGGATTGTCCTTAGTCCCAAAAGTCACGGCCCGGGGTTTAATCGTGGAAACAGTTGAGAGCCCCTCCTTATAAGCACGCATGGTACTTTACTGACCAAACACTTGTGTTCAAGCCCAATACTTACATAAGAAATAATTTTAAAAAATTAGATAAAATAATGATAACTTGACACATGTCAATTTGTCTACGTACATACGTAAAAAAATACAAAAACAGCATGTATCTTCCCATCTTTCTAGTCCGCTCCCTAGCCCTGGCTACGACCGGTCCTCTTCTGCGACGTGTCATCTGGTCAGAGTTAGGTTAGGTCTGAAATAAGACCAAGGGGGTCACTTCAAAATGATCGTTTGATACCTCAGATTATGATTTTATCAATCGTTGTCATTATTAACGGAAGTGATTTAGAATATTAGCAGGTCGTTAATTTACCACACGGATGTACGCACGAACTCAACCTGTTGGTACACTACACTACCAGAATGTACCAATGGTAGATTAGAGTTACGTTGCGTCAGTGCGACGTCATGATACGCTCGCGGGAAACATGAAATGAATGTCCCAGAATGTCAGGTAAAGACTAGAATTTTTACATTTGGGATTGGAGATCTCTTATAATTCAAGAATGTAGTTTATTTTACTGTAATATAAGTAAATGGAGAAGTAATGGATCCATTATCCGGACTGTACTGTACTGCATACAGTATAGATCTTCTACAATATCGTTGTTATATAACCTACTCCTTTAGACAGTTTAGTTTAATTGAAGACGATTTATTTAAATACAGTACCCTTTGTGCATTGGTTTCGGAAAGTTCATACACGCAGCAGGATCGGCTGTGCAGTCGTTTACTGAGTCAGTTTACCATTGTAGTTAGAGAGCTTTTATTAGAGGTAGAAAAGTATCCATACATCCAATAATTGTCATGCATTTCATGAGTGGACAAATCAGTTTTGAAGAACGAGAACTAAAAAATGAAATGTGTTCGATCAGTGCTGCCATTCGAGGCACTGTTCTGATTAGTCTACTATGTTTTCAACCATATTGGTTCAGGACCATTATGTATTTCAGAACAGCCATATGGCAAAACTTAATCTCAAACTATCGACTTTCGAGATCTAGCATCCACATGATTTTAGTTCCTGTAACATGTCACGAATCCAGAGAGAGAAAAATTGTGATTAAAACTATTCGTCAGAAATGATGAAATAGCCCATCATTTCATCCTCAGCTGACAGTGTTTTGTTGTGGTCTTTCAAGTGAATGAAAATTGTCCAACAATAACAGACCACACCTTCTTGCAATTTTATAGCTATGGAAATCTTCCATTGAAAAAATTATAGTTTGCAAATTATCTTATTTCTGAATTTTAATAAACTAGCGAGCTGTAGATTGACATGAAAAATAACCTTTTAAATAGTTTTTGTTATAAAAATGAAGTTTACAGAGAACCATGGCCCATGTGAGGAAAAGGATCAAACAATAAAACTTTAGTGTAACCCTTTCCACCATTTTCTGCCTAAAAATGATGTGTCCATACCAAATGAGATTTAAAATAGAAATTATGATCTAAATATTTCATAATATTTCAAAATATTTTGGTAGTTATATCCAACTTTTATGCTCCGGTCCAAAATCCAACATAACTCATCTAGAACAAATAGTCTTAATTTCTTCTCATGTTTCATTTACACAATGAGGAAAATATTTGGAGTTTGAGTTTTTTTAAAGAAAAGAGAGAGATGATTTGTTGTTATTTCAGTCTTATCAAAACTTCAACATGATAATCACATTACTTGGGTAGTTATTTTGTAACATGTCGATGCAACAGTTTTTCTTGCACAGAATATACATTTTATGAGTTTCTGATATTTTCAAGGAATATTCACAATTTGAATACATAAGATTTGTCAGACCACCATCAGTTAATTCTGTAGTTTGCCCATCCATTCGTCAATTGTCAGATAACCGTTAATGGCCATGGCCCACTTGTTTAGGTACTAATAGATGATGATGATTTCTTTATATGTTGCAACTGAATAAATAATATCTATGAATATTTTTTTCAAAATAGTGTTGAGGAATTTTTATCTCTTGACAATGATTTTATTCACCAGTTGCAATTATGGGTTCTTGTGTTACTTCAAGTTCAGAATCCAAGTCCATGTTACATCCAGACAATATTTATGAAAAAAAATTTTTTTTTAAATTGATAAACGGGTCACACACCAGAAGATTTTAATGTTAAAAGTAATGTCATGTAAAGTTGCTTTACATAGAGTATTGTCTCTGCACATTTCATCATCAAAGTAGTAAATCTATTGCAGAATGGAAAGACGTAACAAAGACACTAAATTGTGTTTGGTGACCTGTGCATCCAAGGAACAGCTAGCCATATAATATGCCACATGCTTATCTACCATTTGTTAAATTTAGAAAGGTTTTTCTTGTATATTTTGGGTTTTCTTGTGTTATATAAGGCTAAGAATTAAACATTTCAGTCACATTTGAGAGTAACTTATCAGGACATAACAATGGATGCTAAACTGCATCGAACAATATAGCAAACCACAGCTAATATTGGTCATATTACAGCTCAAAATTTCTTCAATGGTTGATCTTCAACTGTCATTTTGCCACAAAATATATCAAATATTTAACGACTTGTAATATTAGCTTTGTTCCTGATGAATTCTGTCATTTCAAAAGACATTTTCAATAGTTGGCCTACATATTCATCAAACGTCATGGACGTAACATTGGACTTGCATCACCGCCCCTCTATTGTATAGGTCATCTTTTGCATTGTGGCAGTGCAGACACTTGTTAAACAACTGGAAACTGATCTGTGATACACACCTCTAACATGTTGTCATAAAACATACATACTAACTTACTCATAATAAGAGATAAGATCGTTGTAGTTTCAATGTCTGGGACGTAACATTATGACATGATTTCCACAAGCACTAAATTATTTAATTTTTTTAGAACATGTTCAGAGGTTTTTCACTACATACACTTTTATCAGGACACAAACTGCTTCTGCGAGGATATACACAACCACAAGGCATATCTTTGGTTGTAACATTTAGGACACAAAATGTTCTGTTCATGTGCTAATGTTTTCAAAATGTTGTATATGTAAATTAATGTATATTTCTGGAAAGTAAATACATTTCATTGATTGTTTCAATACCTTGTCTCATAAGATTGAACAACACAGATATGCTAATATTTATTTTGGTTGTGAAAATACTTCCTCTTGAGTATGGACACCAAAACATGGTGTGGTGTCCACACCAAATGAGGTTTAAATTAGAAACTGTGATTTAAATAATTCATGATATTACAAAATGTTTTGGTAGTTATATTCTTGTCTAAGGAACTTTCAATTGATGTAATTGATGTTTCATTTAGCAATCAAGATTTGGTGATAAATTCAAAAGGAGCAGACAGCAAATATTTTATGACACCAAAGACTTGCTTGTATAAAACTGGACTTGATTACTAGATGTATATTATTGAAGATCATGGTACTGAAACTGATTCCCATAACTTGGTGTTTATAGATAATCGTTAAGAAAACGGAACTGATTTCCATTCCCAGGTGTTTATAAATAATGGTTATGAAACTATCTGATTCCCATCACTAGGTTTTTATAGCTTCTATTTTTGTTATCTTTTAAACATCTTTTGCTGTATACTCAAAAGACTCCAGAATTAATCTGATCTACTTGAATTTTTGCAGGTGGCAGGACTACACCAAAGATAATTCAGTTGATCAGACAAGCCCAGGGGCTTGACCCAGAGGAAGAATCCATTCTCAAGAAATTAACACCCCATGTTCCAGGTGTGGTAACATTTGCTGATCACAACAAACTTCTGCCATGGACAACAGAGTACAGATCTGTTCTGGTCTTTGCAGACATTTCAGGTTGGTTGAAATCCATTTTGACAAGTTCTTGAAAGGACATGGTTTGATAAGGGCCATTTTTGGCCCAACATCATATTTTTATTATTTTTGGTCTGAGTACTCTTGGATATCTTAAAACTGTATACATCCCAAGTTGTAAGTATCTGTGTAAAGTAGTTAATGAGATACGATTGTTCAAAAGAGATATACAATGATGTTAAGATTATAACTATATAATATTGGAACTATAGCTGATTCAACAATCAAGGGAACCACAATGTATGAGCCTGGTTTTACTTTTTAATTTGATATTTGGATGGTCAACCTAGCTATGACAATTTTAATTCTGTGCAATTACTAGTGGATCACATATTGTGTTTTACAGTTTCACAATATCCTGATTGTAAACGTCTATTTCACAGTATGCTGAATAAAGTCACAGTTCATTCTGTCTAAAATTCTACATAAAAATGGATTTTTGACCTATAATGCATCATTAAACTCAGTGCACATAGGCTTAATGGTAATGTTGTAACAAGGTATTTTGAAACATTAAAAAAAAACCAGGGTCAAAATACCATAATGGTGAAGTGAACCGTGGTGTAGTATGAAGTGAACCCTGGTGTCGTATGAAGTGAACAGTGGTGTAGTATGAAGTGAACCATTTGTGTAGTATGAAGTGAACCCTTGTGTAGTATGAAGTGAACTGTGGTGTAGTATGAAGTGAACCATGGTGTAGTATGAAGTGAACCCTGGTGTAGTATGAAGTGAACCGTGGTGTAGTATGAAGTGAACCATGGTGTAGTATGAAGTGAACCGTGGTGTAGTATGAAGTGAACCCTGGTGTAGTATGAAGTGAACCGTGGTGTAGTATGAAGTGAACCCTGGTGTAGTATGAAGTGAACCATAGTGTAGTATGAAGTGAACCCTGGTGTAGTATGAAGTGAACCATGGTGTAGTATGAAGTGAACCCTGGTGTAGTATGAAGTGAACCGTGGTGTAGTATGAAGTGAACCCTTGTGTAGTATGAAGTGAACCGTGGTGTAGTATGAAGTGAACCCTGGTGTAGTATGAAGTGAACCGTGGTGTAGTATGAAGTGAACCGTGGTGTAGGTGAACCGTGGTGTAGTATGAAGTGAACCGTGGTGTAGTATGAAGTGAACCGTGGTGTAGGTGAACCGTGGTGAAGTATGAAGTGAACCGTGGTGTAGTATGAAGTGAACCCTGGTGAAGTATGAAGTGAATCGTGGTGTAGGTGAACCGTGGTGTAGTATGAAGTGAACCGTGGTGTAGTATGAAGTGAACCCTGGTGTAGTATGAAGTGAACCGTGGTGTAGTATGAAGTGAACCGTGGTGTAGTATATTAGAAGTGAACCCTGGTGTAGTATATTAGAAGTGAACCCTGGTGTAGTATGAAGTGAACCCTGGTGTAGTATGAAGTGAACCGTGGTGTAGTATGAAGTGAACCCTGGTGTAGTATGAAGTGAACCGTGGTGTAGTATATTAGAAGTGAACCCTGGTGTAGTATATTAGAAGTGAACCCTGGTGTAGTATGAAGTGAACCGTGGTGTAGTATGAAGTGAACCGTGGTGTAGTATGAAGTGAACCCTGGTGTAGTATGAAGTGAACCGTGGTGTAGTATGAAGTGAACCGTGATGTAGTATGAAGTGAACCATGGTGTAGTATGATGTGAACCGTGGTGTAGGTGAACCATGGTGTAGTATGAAGTGAACCGTGGTGTAGTATGAAGTGAACCCTGGTGTAGTATGAAGTGAACCCTGGTGAAGTATGAAGTGAACCGTGGTGTAGTATGAAGTGAACCCTGGTGTAGTATGAAGTGAACCGTGGTGTAGTATGAAGTGAACCCTGGTGTAGTATGAAGTGAACCGTGGTGTAGTATGAAGTGAACCGTGGTGTAGGTGAACCATGGTGTAGTATGAAGTGAACTGTGGTGTAGTATGAAGTGAACCCTGGTGTAGTATGAAGTGAACCCTGGTGAAGTATGAAGTGAACCGTGGTGTAGTATGAAGTGAACCGTGGTGAACCGTGGTGTAGTATGAAGTGAACCGTGGTGTAGTATGAAGTGAACCATGGTGTAGTATGAAGTGAACCGTGGTGTAGTATGAAGTGAACCCTGGTGTAGTATGAAGTGTAGTATGAAGTGAACCGTGGTGTAGTATGAAGTGAACCGTGGTGTAGTATGAAGTGAACCATGGTGTAGTATGAAGTGAACCGTGGTGTAGTATGAAGTGAACCCTGGTGTAGTATGAAGTGTAGTATGAAGTGAACCGTGGTGTAGTATGAAGTGAACCGTGGTGTAGTATGAAGTGAACCCTTGTGTAGTATGAAGTGAACCCTTGTGTAGTATGAAGTGAACCCTTGTGTAGTATGAAGTGAACCCTTGTGTAGTATGAAGTGAACCGTGGTGTAGTATGAAGTGAACCCTGGTGTAGTATGATAAAGTGATTCCCATGGTGAAAAGAACCGCTGTTCATTTCACCATTATGGTGAGATGGAAACCACTCCCATGGTAAAGTAAAGCCACTTTATATTTTGTTTTCAGTTCTTGTTTCTTCACTTTTTTGTATCAGTTTGCTTAATGGCCATGGTAAACTGAAGCATAACACTATTTTTCTTACTATTTGAAATTTTTTCACCAATTTTCATGTTATTCACCCTGATTCAATCAGATTTAATTAAAAGTAAAAAGTTCAAAGGGCAGGGTTTGTATCTTATGTGTGTCATTTGTCACTTTATTTTTGTTAGCTCACAAGTCTGCATAAATGGCCATGGTATCATGTATTTGAAAAAGCAATGAAAGTATGGGAACTCTTTTTTTATCTAAGCAATCAAATACCAAATTTCATTCCACTCAGGTTTTACGTCACTCTGCGAACGGTATGCTTCCATGGAAAAGTCTGGTATCGACCAACTGACAAAGAACCTAAATGACTACTTGGGAGCCATGGTGGACCTTATATTGAGAGCAGATGGCGATGTGCTTAAATTTGCTGGTAACTTTTAAATTTTTAATTTGTGATTAAATTTCTGTCTTTGTTCATAATAGCATAAATTACATAGAGGTAGATCTTGCCTCAAAAACCTCCATTCACTTCACATTCTTTTCACAGTTTTATTCTGAGTGGTGGAAACACAGTACGTACTTTCCTGGCAACAGTTTGAGAATAAGAAAACTGCCAATGTGATTCTCTGTACAATTATTTTCCAGCTGCCATCTCAAAAATATTCCTTTCTCATGCATTCCGCTGTTGTTTTATCGAGTTATGTGACCTTGCATAAACCGGAAAAGAACCCATTTCGGGGTGGCAATAATACTGATACTGGACTACTAGTTATAGGAGGTCATGAATAACTGAATGAAATGTCCTGTGCTAAACTGCTATCACTTAAATGGCATCATGAATCACTTGGAAATAATTGTTATAAAACTGGTGAGTAATTGTGATGGTGGGGAAGGATATTACAGTCTGCTGACATACTTATTAATAATCAGGTCAAAATTTAGGTCTGTGATTACATTCGGAGGTTTTTTGGCTATTCTTCTATCACTGTATTTCTGTTGCAAGGACATACATATGCACACAAAAGATAAATGCACGTATAATGTGGTGCATTCTATAGCTAGACTGATCTCAAAGGTCTTGCCTTTCTTACCCAAGTCTAGAAATTGATTACTTGGAAGAGTATCTTCCTAGATTTGTTACCTTGATGAGCTGCCTTTTATTTCCCAAAAATACTTGATGTGGGCACATCTATGCTTAAATTCTATTGTTGCTCATTATACGTACATATACATTTTACTTATCTTTTAATTTGGATTTTGGTTTTGATAAATACATACTCAAAGATAGAGGTTAAAACAAAATCACTCAGTCATTATGTTTAAGACAACAATTGCATTGCTTATTTGTACCAACAGTGACGTAAAACCTTTCCCATGCTTTTGGATATTCTAAAGTCTAAACATATAGGAGTTGAGAGGTATTGTAGTATTTTTCAACATTTTTAAGGCATACCACAAATGCACTTACACCAAGGTCACTAGCAAATAGAATAAAAAAGTTACTTTGAGAAATCATGAGATAATGTCTGAAGAATGTGATAGGTGTATTGCACAATGTATAGATAGTGCTGTTTCTACCTGTAAACACCTGAGAAAGTTGAAATATCTAGAGTTATTCCCCTTCTGAAAACCAAGAAATAATAGGCATTCAGTATTTTGATGAATGGTAACCTGCCATCAGATGGGAATGGTCGTGCCACTTATTACGTAATTGGACTATGAATTAACCTGGATAAAGCAAGAAGACGGCCAGTATTACTTGTATTACATAATGGAAAGAACTCTCGCCTTACATTTTAAAAAGATATATTAAAATAATTAGTTATGTTTTTGTTGCCAAAAATATAAAGTGTGATATTTTGTGCAATTTTACTGTATGTTTCACTTTTCTTATGCCTGCTGGCATATACTTTTTACATAATTATAATGTACTATAATAATGAAATATGTAAGCATGTATTTGGAAGAATATATGTTTAACCATTTTGTCAGAATTTTAAGATGAAATAGTTGATATTATCTCATTCTATTCTGGTATACATTTTATAGTTGTTGTTAGGAATTACAATAATGATAGCATATCCACTCCGATTGGCCTGTATGAAAAATATACAGGTAAATAACACATCCTGAGATCAGGTTGTAACCCTCGACAGAAGTGTCAAGGTGTTCACCAAAGTATATATATGATATGAAAGGGACATCAGCATCTACTGAAATTGATATGTTTCTTCCAAGTAACATGTTAGGCAGATATTAAAGAATTCACTCGGTTGATTCGCTACTTGTTGTTTGTCTGAGCTGTGTTAGATTTCATATTTTTTCATGTAAACACAAATAATTTTCACATTTTTTTTTAATAATTTCCCTACACAACAAAATGTTCAATCACAGTGTTTACAACAGTCATTTCCTCTTGGCTGAATTAACGTCACAGATTTTGGGTGCCGAATATTCCTGAAAGCTACGAGAAAAGCCAAAGCGCTGACAAGTAATCAAACTTACATATAGCCAAACACACTCGGCCACAACCATATCAAATATTTGAAGAAAAAGCGACTAATTGTAGATACCACATGACGATGAGTAGAATCCAATCCTGAATGGTCTCGTACATAAAAAAAATTCGCCATACAATATGTTATTATGACATGGCAGTAGATATCATTAAACAACTCAGCTGGACTAGTTTGATTTGCAAAACTGATATTTCTGACGCATTTAAATTGATACCTATACACCCATCATTGTGGCCATTGTATGGTATTAAGTAGGAAGGTAAATACTATTTCTATACCAGACTGATATTTGGCAGGGGGTCCAGCCCCAAGATTGTTTATTTACTTTCAATGTCAATTTGTTGGATAGCCAACAATAAATTTCACATCAAGAACATTCTGCAGCTTCTGGATGATTTTCTAATATTGAACCCACCAGATCATTGTGCCATACACTCTATGTCAAATCTTCTGGATTTTATTCTCTAAGTCGAATGACTTTAATGAGAAGCACAAGAGTGTCGGGCCTATTGAAAGCTAGGATGCCTCAGGAAATATAGAATGTATCTGTGAAAATTTTCAAATACCACATGGCAGATTATTTGTGTTATACTTAATAGGTCTGTCTTATCAGGTTAAAAAACTGCATCATCATATTTACCCTAGAATGCTGATTAGACTTAGACACATGGTTTTTGTTCCTTACTCAGTGGAATGGTTGTTGTATTTTCATTAATGACAATATTACAAAATCAACTGATATGCACTTATACACAGACGCTACATATAAGGTCTTTAGAGGAATGTACCAAAATCAATAGTTTCAAGGACCTTAGACAGTGAAAAATTATCGATGGCTTTAGAGAACTTTACTCAATTGTGATGAGTTGTGTGTAATAGGTGATAGAATGGTCATGATGAAGGATACTTTTTCACTGTGATAATATGGCAATACTGGATATCATCAATAAAGCATGTTCAAAAAGTAAAGATTATTATGAAGAAATTAACTTATTGTTCAGCAAGATATAACTTCAATGTCCATGCAATTCCAGCCATTCACAATGCAGTCGCTGGTTCTAACAGCAGTCCAACGTCTAACTCCACTGTCTGCAACTGGTGAATTGATGTGTATATGTATCCCGTGAGACCATTATGCTGTAGATTGTCTTTGCCGGGTCCTCCCCAACTACAACCTGGACCTGTAGACTTTCAGTTGTCGTTAACTACAGGCTTCAGTATGGATACACTATCATATTAATTTCAACTAGCAGAAGTTTAACTAACTGCTAGAAGCAGTAATTCAATGTAGCCCCCTGATATTGCCATACTTTATAACTTTATAAAAAAGACTTGCGTAAATAAACATCACTTTTACCTAACTGATTTTGTTTTGTATAAATAACTCTTCTCGGGTTTTTTTTCTGTCCCGATTTTTTCTCTTCTTTATCTTAGTAAAGAAAACACGGATGAGTCGAATACTGGGTTTGTGTCAAAGATATTTTGTTGTACCTCCCTTCTAAATTCTACCAAAATTCACTTTTTTTGTGTCGAACATTCAGGCATCACCTTGTCTCATGTAAAAATTTCCTGGCTTTGGTTCGAATTACTGAGTGTGTTTGGTCAGCCGTATCTGTGTTAATGACCTCTATTATAATTTTTGATGGATATTTATCCATGCGTTTACACAGGTGAATGTCAGAATTTATACAGAATTAGGCAACCACACCTGAAACAAAATACACTGTGTTTTGTTTACCTTTTTTAACATGGCTGCTGGAAACCAAAATGAAAAACAAGCGATTTCTACTGAACAGATGTAGATTAATAAAAATACTTTCACGAACACTTTTGTTTATGATTGCAGCTTTATTTACTGGATATATACGTATATATACAAAGTGTGAGTTTTATTTTATTCTAGTTTATGGTATACGCTCTTAGGGTGCTGTACGTGTTATGCTTCAGTTACGTTGCCACAGCCTTCATGTTTTCGTAACTCACCTACTTTTGATGTTATATTAATATAGAACGTTCATGAATATGTATAAATCGATGCACAGTGTCTTCATTTATAGAAACACTGTGAGGTCGAACCATCAGATAAGTCAAATATTTCATTTGATCCTATCAATGTCGACTTATCTGTGTTTTAATGTATATATTTGTTATGTTGATTAAATGTTTAAGTTAGATATCGATATAAGAATCCTGAAGCACCAATTAAATGTGCATAAAATTTACATATACAGTATATTGCAATTGCAAATAATTATATACTGATCTAAGTTTTCTTCCACTTGGTATTATAAAAAATGGTTACAAGTACCAATAATGAATACAAAATGAATTAAATAGTTCATCAACAATATCTCAATGGGAAATTAATTGATTTTACATGCAGTAGTGTGGCTGGTGACCATCTTGGATTTTGGAATGATCTTTACTTTTTATATGCCTGTCAAAAGACGGACATATTATGGTATGGCTCTGTCCGGCGTCCGTCTGAACTTTAATTTGTTCGGAGATCTCCTACATTTTTCAGCCGATCTTTATGAAACTTAGTAGGCTTAATCATCATGATATGAAGTTGTGTTTCCCTGAACGGGGTTTTGATTTGGTCAAGAGTTATGGCCCTTTGTTTATTTCACTATAGAAATCTTGTACGGAGATCTCCTCCAACATTTTTAAGCCGATCTTTATGAGACTTGGTAGGCTTAATCACCATGATATGAAATTTTGTTTTCCTGAACGGGGTTTTGATTAGACGATTTGACTAAGAGTTATGCCCCTTTGCTGTTTTGGATATTCACGGGGTATTTTGTTCCGCTTTGCGGTACTCTTGTTCTTGAATCGTAATACTGGATGGATTGGTATTGGTTGTTATTTGCGCAATTTTTGAATTATTTTCTTAAAAGGCTTTTTTTGAAAA